TTAAAATTAATTGGTAGTTCTAATAGTGAACTATCATTTATTCACATCAGCACATCCTGTCTTTGAGAAAACTCAAAAGATAAGAAATATAAAAAGGTAAGTCTGGAGGGGCATAGGAGAAGAAGAGGGAGGGACGGTGGAATTGGGAGGGGACAGGAAGGGGGCTACAGCTAGGATACAAAGTGAATAAACATAAAATAAAAATTAAAAATTAAACAAAGGAATAGTAAGAAGTTAAGAACAGGTAAGTCTATTTAAACTTAATTATCTGGCTTTACACTTAATGCTGTTTATTCTGATAATTGTTCTGGATTGCTTTAAAAACAAGGTTTTTGGGGTGTTGGGTAGTGTACACCTTTAATATCAGCACTCAGGAGGCCAAGGTTGAATATCTCTGAGTTATCACTGTGTCTGGGTGATACAGTGAGACCTGTGTCTTGGTTATTTTTACATTGTGATGAAGAGGAACCATAACCAAGGCAGCTTGTAGAAGAAAGTGGTGTTTTGTTGTTGTTGTTGGTGGTGGTGGTTTTGTCTTATTTTTCTGTTTTTTCAAGACAGGGCTTTTCGGTGTAGCTCTGGTGGTCCTTCAACTCACTCTGCATATCAGGTTGGCCTCACACTCAGAGATCCATCTATCTCTGCCTCCTGAGGGCTGGAATTAAAGGCGTGCGCCACCAGTGCCCAGCTAGAAGAATTTAATTGGAGGCTCACATACAGTTTCAGAAGGTGAGTGGACGCTCATCGTGGCCGAGAGCATGGCAGCAGGCAGGGAGGGAGGCAGGAAGGCAGGCATACCCCGGAGCGACTGCTTCAAGCTCACACCCCAACCCACAAACAAGAGGCAGAGAGAGAGAGAGAGATGCTAGGAATGAACTGAGCTTCTGAAACCTCAAAACCCACCTCAGTGGCACACCTCCTCCAACAAGGCCACACCTCCTAATTCATCCCAAACAGTTTCACCAACTGGGGACCAAGCATTCAAGCACGAACCTGTGAGGACCATTCTCACTCAGACCACCGAGCAAGAATAATTCCGGTGCATTCTATTTTGGCCATTTGGGGTTTTAAACATTATTACTTTTGATTGATTGATTGACTTTAGTTTTGGGAAGCAAATCAAGGGTCTTACACATATCAAGAACAAGCTATTTCACTAGGCTACACCCACAGCCCTTACTTTTAATTTAATTTGACCTGGGTCATTTGGGACAACAACAAAAAGATGAAATGTTAAGACTCTAGACCTCGTAGGATTCTAAAAAACGGAAATGACCTTAATATAAAATCAGATTTTGTTTTCCATTTTCTAGTATAATAAGATCAATTTCAAGCAAATGTAATTTTTGAGAGGACATAAATTAATTTTATCTAAACCTAAAACGATCTCACAGTTGACTATTTCTCTCTTAACTCACACCACATACATTTAACTGTTTTCTGCCACGTACCTTTCAATCTTTAGAAGCGATGAATAAGCCTGTTGTTAGCACGAATACTTTTTAAAACAGCGCTGTGCATCAAACCCACAGCCCAGCCCTGTACAAACTGAGCTACACCGCCTAGTCTAATATGAGTGCCTTAATAAGAGAATAACAATGGGCTTCTATGATTCGTGCTTCGAACACTTGATGCTAACACTTAAACCTAAAGTAGAAAATGCAAAAAGCTACAAGGATCCAGGTTGTGGAGCAAAATTCTTCTCCCTGCCCCCCCCGCCCCACCCCATGCCCTAGCCATCTCTCTTTCTAAAGTACTCATATCTTTCCAGCTAGTTGGACCAGTAGGATAAAGTTCCTCCCCATCAGGGCATGCATGGAAGAAAAGAATTCTCATCATTTCAAGACTATATGCACGTATGTAGGCCAATCTCTATCAAAGACAGTACAGGGCTGGGAATGGCACTCAGAGGTAGAGTACCTGCCTAGTGATGAGGGCCTGTTTCTAGCACTAGAGAAAAATCAAACAGTACAACAGCGGCAGTGGAAACCCCTGGGGCATTGCTAAGAGATGAGATGCTTTTTATTTTTATTATTGTTGTCTTGCGCATATAATTTATGTATGAGCACGCAAGCACCACGCTGAATGTATGAAAGTCTGAGAACCCTTTTGTGAGTGGGCAGGGGGGAATCAAAGACAGGGTTTTTCTGTGTAGCCCTGATGTCCTAAAACTCACTCTGTAGACCAGGCTGGCCTGGACCTCAGAGATCCACCTGCCTCTGCTTCCTGAGTGTTGAAATTACAGGTTGAGAGCCACCACCACCTGGTCAAAGCCCAATTTTACAGTGTTTTTTTCCTTCCACGAAGGAATCAAGGGATCACATTTAATTCCCGAGCCATCTTTTTGTCCTAACAGGAGATACTTTTCAAAATATTTATTTTTAATGATGTGATGTGGGATGTGCGTGTGCCTGTGTTGGGTTTATGTACACGTGTGCAGGTGCCCATGGAAGTTAGAGGATGTTCGATTTCTCAGGAACTGAAGTTCTGGGTAGTGGTGAGCCTCCTAATGTTGGTGCTGGGGTCCTCTCCAAGAGCAGCAAGTGCTCTTGACATCTGAGTCATCCCTTCAGCCCTGAGGTGAGACACTTTCATCAAATCAAACCAAACATGCCTGCTGCTGCCCAGCAGAGTGGCATAGAGCTATAATCTCAGTGCTCGGGAGGTGAAGGCCGTAAGATCTGCATTCAAAACCAGCCCCAGCCGCAGATCAAGGTTCAGGCTGGACTGGGCTAAAGACTGAGAGATATTCTCAACTAGAAGATCTTGCTGTGTGTGGTAGTGCAAGCCTGTCTTCTCAGCAGTCCAGGGGCTGAGGCATGAGGCTCTAGAGTTGCAAACCAGCCCAGGTTACATGGTAAGCTCCTGTCTCAAAAGGAGTCTACATATATGTTAGTAACTCTCTACCCAGTTCTGTTAGGTATCGACAGAATTTTCTAGTAAGTATCACCTATGAAATCTGGATTTTAAAAATAAATTTTCAAACCTGAATAACAGCAAAATTTCACGTTGTTCCTTTGTGTGTGTACATGACATATGGACATCATCTAGTGTGCTACTGGTTCATTTTCAATGATTTTTTTTTTTTGCCATACAAAATAAAACACATTCAAATTTTTATTTTAAAATAGAATTTATTGAACACTACAGTAAATTCAACACAATCTTGTCAGATTGGCACATATTGAAAAGAGCTTAATTTACTAAATTAACACTCCAAAAAATTAAGTTTTAAATCATGTTCCATAGTAAGTCTAATAGTGTTATAAAAATATCAGTTTACACTCACTTACATAGAAAAGTGTTAGAAAAAGAATCCCATATACAAACCAATCATCTAAGAAGTGAAAATCCAATTACGTATTCTTAAAAAGGTACTAATTTGAGTACAATGTAAAAGGGGAAAAAACTAGACAAAAGCTACTGAGTTTGCACTCACTTGTTCTCTTGGGAAGCTGCAGACCAGCTAGACAGACTTTAGGTGTTTCTTGTAAATTTCAAAGTTTATAGTACTTTTAATGCCTCGTCAAAACCGCCACGTGGTGAACAGGTCATGTACTGCGACCACGAGTTGATTCAACCTATTTTTCTTATTCACAGAAAACTGCAAAAGCCTCTCGAAGCAGTGTATTCTACCAGCCAGCTGGGCAACTCCCAGCTCTGAAACTCTGCTGACTGGAATCAAGCTGAAGTTCTAGAGAATCAGCTTAACAGACCAGGTATATTTCCAACAAATGTAAACCTAATCCCACGTCTACCCAGGGCAGAAATTGAGTAGCTGGGCCTGATGCTCAGTAGCACGACCCTTACTCAGCATGTGCAAAGCCCTGGATTAGAGGCCCCATGACTGAAAAATAGTTTTAAAAAATGTGGGCATTGAAAGAGCAAACAAAACTAGAACGCTCACTATTTATTATAAATATGCCATTTTACCCAAACCTGTATGCACATGTAACTAAGATACATGAATGCTAGCAGCATATGGAACAAAAGTATCCTCCTTCAAAAGGGTATTAAATCACATTCTACTATAAAGGAATTGCTGGTGAAAGTAGAACTTGTAAGCTGGGTGAAAAGAAAATGCATTTAAGATCAATGATTTTGCCAGGTAGTGGTGGCACACGCTTTTAATTCCAGTACTTGGGAGGTAGAGGCAGGCATGATCCGAGTTCTAGGCCAGTCTACTCTATGGAGCAAGTTCCAGGACAAGCAGGAATACACCGAGAACCCCTGCCTTGAAAAAATGACCACCCCCCAAAAAAACCCCAGCGATTTCTATTTGATAAGTCAGAAGTATGAAACTTTCTAGCATGTATTTTATTTTGCAATATTTACTAATAAATACAGCATACTTTGTTTTTAAAGCATGTTCAAGGAAAAAAAAATCCAATATCTCTATCTCTTAAAAGTTATTGGTGTTAGGTAAGCAAGAGAGGAAAAGACAACAGATTTTCACCTCTGGTATCTATTCATTTTGATTTCTAACACAAAGTATTTCTGTACTTCATTTTCTCTATGGGGCTATTTTCAACTCTGTTGCTACGAGTTAAATACATATGAAATTGGCAGTAAGGATACAGACTCTAGGAAATTTTTGTTATTTATAGCTGCTTCGTAAGTTGTTTCCTTGGCAGTTCTAGGGGAAGGCACTTTGAAAATGCTAGGCAAGTACTCCAACACTGAGCTGCACTCCAGCCCATATGTAAGACTTTAATTACAATGATGGTAGTTGGGTAAAACAGAATTTGCTTCAAATAATTCAGAAATCAGATTTGTAGACGTGTTAATGCTTTCTTTCTTTTTTTTTTTTTTTGGAACAAAGTTTAGGTTAAGAAATTAAAATATTAGTTACAAATTAATGAAACCAAATTACTTTTGAAAACTTATCTCAACGCAGTTCTTAAAAGGATAATTTTAACAGTCTTCATACAAACGTAACTGGCGCTTTTGAATGTCACAGATTTGAATGAGGATGCGTATGTTAGTGAAACGGCTGTATCTTGGCAAAGATTTTATTGACGTTTTAAGAGAAAGTACAGTTAGGATTGTAGAGTGGCACTTGTCTCTAGTCAGGCAGCTCTGTGCTGTGAACGAAAGAGCCCACACCTGTACCGAGCAGAAAGAAGCAGCTGCCAGGAGCGTCTCTGTCATTTACTCAGCAAAAGTTAACAGTTAAACAAAAGCATTTAGTGTGAACTTTAGCTCAAATATCAAAGGTCTAACCCGTTTTTTCAATGCACCAGTTTTACCTTTGAATAAGATGAATTGGCCTTAACACGAAAGACTGGATTTGTTCACCTATTGTGTGCACTGTTTACACAGAAATGCAAAATCCTGAGCTTTTGTCATGACTTGTCTGTCACTTGGTACTTTGTCAGAGAAACTGTTAAAAAAAATTTTTTTAAAAGATAACTTCACCTCTAAAACTAGAAAAACACCTGAGATTTCACAAAAGAGGAGAAGAAAATAATCTCTTTCAAGTTGCAAACCATCAAAGTGATTAGCTAACTGGTCTGATGGCTCGTCCTGGGTGTGAGAAAAGTGATGACTGACAGCACACTTAGCCTCAGTGCTTGTCTGGGCACAAAAGGAGTGGAAACTAGGGGGTGATGACGTGGGGTTGTCGGGGTGCTCAAGGCAAACAACAAGTTATACATGATATCGAGTCAGATAAGAAAAACATTTAAAGGATGAAACTTTACTTAATCAATAGAATCAAATTTCAAAGATCAGAAAAAAACAAAAAAAACTTAAGTGTAAGTGTAAGAGTTTAATCTGTATCTTCAAGTAAATGCTGTACTGATATAAACCAGATTCAGTTTCTGTGTCCTTCTAATGACTATTTCTATACATTATGTTTCCTTCTATCTGAAATATAGTTTAATATAATACACATGCAGCCAGAAGTAATTTGGGTTCTCAAGTTTAAAACAAGGGTTACAAGTTTTGAAAAACTTAAACTACAAGGATGGAGAGATGGCTCAGCAGTTAAGAGCACTGGCTGCTCTTTCAGAGGACCTGGGTTTTACTCCCAGCCACCACGTGGTAGCTAACAGCCATTTGTACCTTCAGCCCCAGGGGATCCAACAGCCTCCTCTGGTCTCCATGGGCACCAGGCATCGGTGTGATACACAGACAGATGCACACAGGCAAAACATCCATACACATGAAATAAAAATAAAAGCAAACAAAGATTTTAAACGATAAAGGGGTGTGTCTATGTTTCCTTGTGTATTTTTTAAAACCTCTGCATGAAGGAAAGACCAATTTTCATTGCTGAACTGCCTTCTTGCACAGCCTAAAGTAGTTATTTCTCTAGAGGAAATAAGATTTGCATAAATATTTTACAAAAACATCCACTCAGAAATTTGCTTTGACAGCTATACATGATCTATCCTTAGATTCTGGAGAAGTATTTTAGTGAGACAAGTACAGGGAAGGGTCAGGGTGGCTTTTTTTTTTTTTTATAAAAATATAATGTATATAATACATTTGAAAACTGCACAAACCCTATGTTTTTAGTTGATTGTGAAGGCACAATTTTAAGATAATTAAAAGAAAATGTACTTTCACTATAGATGCTACCGGCTCATAAAAATATGGATTGGCAAAAAAATACGTGGCCAATTTTCAATTCAAACTTTGATTTAAAACTTGCTGGGCACAGTGTTGCCAGCTATAGTCCCAAACATTTGGGAGGCAAAGGCAGGAGGATTTTAAGTGCCAGTCCTGACTCTGTCTCAAAACGCCAAAAAAAGAAAAAAAAGGAAAAAGGAAAAAAAAAAAAAAGCCAAATTCTAATTGTAGAAAATCAATAACACATCATTGTAGGTCCACGAAATTACTGCTGTATAATCTGCTCATCAGGAGCGACAGGGTTTTCTTCATTTGTCGAATAGTCCAGGTGGTCCATCACCTAGGCATAAATAAAAGATATCAGAAAATGCAAACTTTAAACTCGCCTCCCAGGCTTCATTAGCTTGGCAGAAGTGTTCCGTTTCGGTGTTCTGTTTGTGTGTTTTGCAAGTGTGGATGCTTGTTGCGCATCCGGGTACACGGGGTCATGGATATGCGCAGTTAGCTTCCTCAGCCGCCTTTCCGCCTAAGCTCTGAGAGCAGTCCAGTACGATTGTTGAGCCTGGAGCTTGCTGACCAGAAACAGAGCCCCAGGGATCCTCCTCCTTCTACAACCCATCCTGCCACTTTCCCTGGCACTGGGCTCACAGATGTACCCCACTGACTTTAGCTTTCTTTTTTTTTTTAACTTTTATTTTATTTTAATTTTTTAAGACAGAGTCTCATTTTTGTAGACCTAGGTAAGCCTGAATAACAGGGACCCACACGCCTCTGCCTCCCGAGTGCTGGGATTAAAAGCAAGTGCATCAAGCCCTTCCACGTGGCTTTATTTATTTATTTTTTTAAGATTTATTTATTATATATACAATGTTCTCTTTGCATGTATATCTGCATGCCAGAAGAGGGCACCAGATCTCAGTATAGATGGTTGTGAGCCACCATGTGGTTGCTGGGAATTGAACTCAGCACCTTGGGAAGCGCAGCCAGTGCTCTTAACCTCTGAGCCATCTCTCCAGCCCCCCACGTGGCTTTCTAAATGAGTGCTGGACTCTCACACCTCCACACTTGTTCAGGAAGCAGTCTACTGATTGAGCTATCTCCCCACTCCACCCCCTTTTTCCTTTTATTGAAAAAAGATTCTTTTCTCATACAGTATATCCTGATTAGCTTCCCCTCCCTCTGCTTTTCCCTGTTCCTTTCCCCCTCGCCTCCCCTCCAGATCCAACTGAACTATCTCCCCAGCCGCCTCTACCACCACCCTCTTTTTTTATTTTATGTTTGTTTGGTTTTTGTTGTTTTCCAAACAGGGTTTTGCTGTGTGTCCCAGAACTTACTCTGTAGACCAGGCTGCCCTTGAACTCACAAAGATCTGCCTCTGCCTCTCTAAGGACTGAGATTGAAGACATGCACCACCACTGCCCAGCTTATTATATATATGTATGTATGTATATATATATGTATATATATATTTTTTAATTTTACTTTATGTGTATTGGTGTGAGGGTGTCAGATCCTCTGGAAGTGGAGTTAGAGACTGTTGTGAGCTGCCATGTGGGTGCTGGGAATTGAACCCTCATCCTCTGGAAGAGCTGCCAGTGCTCTTAACGGCCCTACCACCCTTATTTTTTATTACAGCACTCAGGAGGCAGAGGCAGGCCGGCTTAGTCTGCATGGTATGTTGTAGGACAGCCAGAGTAACATAGAGAGACTTTATCACAAAACAAAACAAAACAAAACAAAACAAAACAAAAGAGTAATCTTGGGACTAGAGAGATGGCTCAGAGATTTAAGAGCATTTGCTCTCAGTCTGGTTCCAAACACTCACTTTGGTGAGCTCACAGCAGCCTGTAACTCCAGCCCCAGAGGAATCTCTCGCCTCTGGCCACCGTACCTGAACTAATATGCACACACCCACACACGTACACATAATTTAAAAATAACAAAAACAAACCTTTAAAAAGGTGACCTTACAGAACCAAGCATTCCTTTTGCAACACTGCCTGGGTCAACATCATGTTTAACTTTTCAGAAGGATGAATTATAGGATTTATGACCCATACGAATACTACATTTTTTTTTGGATCATCCATTAATCTCTACATAGTTCCCAGTGTGAATATTATCAGTGGGAATTCCATTTCAAAATAAGACTATCTGTGGCAGTGTGCACTTATGTAAGTGGAAAGTTAAAAATGGTTCCAGAAGTTAGTGTGAAAACACAGGCTGGCTCTGCTACATTATAACCTTATTAAGAACAATACACAATGCTGCCTTTAATTCCAACACTTGAGAGACAGAGGAAGTCAGATCTCTTTATGAGTTCTAGACCAGCCTGGTCTCCATAGCAAGTTCTAGGAAAGCCAGGGATACACAGTGACTCTATTTCAAGGCACACACACAAACACTTGCATGCACACATGCAAACATGCATGATCACTCATGCACACAAACATGCACATTCATAAACAGACATGCATGCACACATGAATACACTCATACTCCTTTGAAAACAAGCAAACAAAAAAAAAATACAATCTCTTTGTAAAAATTGCCAAAGACTTTGAGACCAATAAATGGCTAGATTTCAGTATTATACATGTTCTCCTTTCTTTGTTATTGAGGAGTAGAAGACGGAAAGGCCATCAATATAAATGCCCCCCTTTAATGGGTTCTAAATACTTGGTTTTTTTTGTTTGTTTGTTTGTTTTTTAATTTATTTTTAATTGTTTGAAGAAGGAGGGATTTTTCCACATGGGATTTCTGGACTTGCCAGATAGGAGTGCCTCTGAGCTGGGGCTTTCAACTGACAGGCACCTCAACCAATGGGGACGCGTTCAGTAGAGCCACCTGTCAGCGACCACGGTTATAAAGGTCCTAGTCATTTGTGTGGTCCTTTATCTGCCAAAGATAACACCTAGATTAAGGCAGATTCATGCTCTTAACGGAGAAAAAAAATCCAAGAGATGGAGATGTAAAGGGATTGCTTAGCATGTGGGAATCCTGAATTCCTTCTCTAACATCATAAAAATAAGCAACAAACTTCAATGCATTTAAAAACAAATAAAAGTTGATCAAGATAGGTAGCATTAAGCATTCCACATCGTGAGACATAAGGTGAAGTTGTGGAATAGTTAATTTTGATTGAACTTAAAATTACAGACATGCCCATAAAGATACAGTCAGGGCCTCTGACAGAAGGCCAGAGCTGTGGGAGACCTGAGGCAAGGGGAAGGGAAGGGCGGGGGCTGGAGAAGACGCGGTGCTTTTCTTCTCTGTGATCTGTGTACCCTGGCAACCGCCCTGAAGAGGCAGAGCTATGTGCCCAGCATTATAACAGGCTTCTGCTTTCCTAATTCTTAGGTATCACACTGGGCACTATAATCCCAGCTCTAAATATAGATATATTAATTAACCAGTCATGGCAGTACACAGCTGTGACCCTGGTAGGCAGGAGGTTGAGGCAGGAGTCCGAGTTCCGGCCAGCCTGGATTACACAATGAGATGCTCACCCCTGTCCCCAAAACAAAGCAAAACAAAACCAAAAGAAAACAACAACAAAAAACAATTTTAAAGTCCACTAACTGAAAAGTTACCAAGGCTACTTTCTATTCTCCAAGCTTTCAGTAGAAACAATATAGAAATACACAAACACACAAGGTCAAGCAGGTAAGAACTCAACAAATCAACACAGCCAATAAAAGTAACTGACAAAACTGGTATTTCACATTTGTGAATAGGCAATCTGTTTGGAGAGTTGTCCATTGAAACTGGGCCAGCTAACCTGGCATTTCTAAAGCTCTACTTGTTTAGAGCTGATCTCTGAAAACTGCCTAATAGATCAGCCTCAGTAACTGTAGCTCTTGATCCTCAAACAGGCACTTTAAGTAGCTTTGTATCCCCACTCGTGACTTACAGCTTGTGACTTCTAAAAATAACTACAAGCACTAGTGACATTAACAGACAAAGTGTTCACTGGACGTCAACAAGCTGAGAGCCTGCTATCCATCAGAGTAGGCGGCCAGTCTGAAGCTCCTGCACGAACCTCATTCCACTTGACTTAATAGAGAGACACAGAGTACTTACCATCACGACATTATATTCTGCCTCATTGTTTTCTCTCTAGAGGGAAAAATCGTTTACTTACTCTACAGTAATTAGGACTCTGGCTTCAGGTGAAGTCAAACAAATGGAACTGAAGTACTCAGAAAAAGAGTAAAGGAAAGACTCCAAATCAAGTGCTCCAGCACTTAGTGACGCCTGCACTTTATGATACTAGGGCCACCAGGGCCATTAAATGGGGATATGGCTAAACACACAGTGCCGGCTTGGCATGTGTGAGGCCCCGGGCTCAGTCCCTTATCTGAAATAGTTGAGAACGGAAGTGTTTCAGACTTTGAAAAAAATTTTTTTAATTTTGGTATATTTGCCTCCTCATTTTAAGAATAGGATTCAAACATGAAATTAACTTATATTTCACATACACAACTCCTACAAAGAACCAGAGTCCATGCCGGTGGAGGAACGGCATGGAGGCAGGAACAGCTGAGAGCTCCCATCTTAATCCACAGTAGGAAGCAGAGGAAAAGCTTCCTGGGAATGGTGCTCTGAAAAGTTTGCCCACAATGACACACCTCCTCCAACAAGCCACACCTAATCCTTCTCAAACAGTTCCACCAACTGATGGTCCATCATTCAAGCACACGTACCTATGAGGGCCATTCTCATTCCAACCACCATACCTTTGGATCTCAGATTTTAGAGCATTTTGAATTTTGGAATAGGACGTTTAACCTCTATCATTATCCTTGTACGCAACACAGATATCTGACATTACAATGAACTAAATTATTAGTAGCATTAATAAATTGTTTTATTCTACTTCCTCTATGTTTATTTCAAAACAACAAAAAGGGTACATACAGAAATGATTGTGCATAGAGATAATAAAGAGAATAAGTCTACTTTGTGTTATAAAAGTTGATACTAATGGAGGTAGTGGTGGTGCATATCTTTGATAATAGCACTCAGGAGGCAGAGGCAGGCTAATCTCTGTGTCTAAGGCCAGTCTGGTCTACAGGATAGCCAGACCTACAGAGAAACCTTTTAAAAACAAAAACAAACAAAACAAAATTTAATAATGTGTGGCAGCTATAATTTTATGAGAGCCACTGAAACAATCAGCGCGCGCACACACATGCAAACATATCCTTCCATATCTTCCCACCATCCCCTCTCTCAATAAACATCATAGAAAGAGAAAAGAAGAAATGCTAGAAGAGACCAGAGAAACATAAAAAAGGGCAGATCTCCAAAGAAATGCAGTATTGGTGCTTTTCTGTACATAGCAACTCTAAAATAATCAACTCTTTCCAGTGTGCGGTAGCAGAAGAGGATCTGGAGGCTACACACAAACTGCCCCAGGTGGCTGTCCCTCCTAGGAGAGTGGCAGAAGGGCAGGGCAGCTCAAGAAGGACTTTTCATTTTACTTGAGACACTTGTTCTCCTACTTACTCCTTTCTATTTTGTATGTCCGAGTGTTTTACCTGCATGTGTGCCTGTATGGTGGGTCCTCTGGAACTGGAGTTAAGGACCACTGTGAGACACCATGTGGAGGCTGGGAGCTGAACTCAGGTCCTCTGCAAGAACAGTGACTATTCCCAACCATTAGGCTGTCTCTCTTGCCCCCCTGGTTTTAAGATTTATTCTGTTTTCAATGATGTATCTGTGTGGCTATGAGCATGTGAGAGCAGGAATGCCCTGAGGTGTGTGAAGGATCCCCTGGTGTCAGAGCTACCGGCAGTTGTGAGCTTCTCGGAAGTCAGTGCTGCAAAATGAGCTGTTTGGAGGAGCAATTCATACATACTCCGAGCTCTCTCTCCAGCCCCACTTTTGTTTATGAGGCCTAGAGAGGTAGATCAGTGGTTAAGAGCACTTGCTGCTCTTCTAGAGGACCGGAGTTCAGTTCCTAGTACAAACCTGTAACTCCCCTTCTTCAAGGGGCCTTCTAGTCACTATAGAAACCTCCCAGTGAGCATAAATACGTCTTAAATTGTTTTAATTAAAAATACAAATAAGAGCTGAGGAATGGTGCCAGACTCTCATAATTCCAGCACGTAGGAGGGTAAGGCGGGGGGGGTTTCTGAAAGCCCAAGGCTATCCAGGGACTACATTTGAGCTCAATGTAGACACCCCGGACTACAAAGTGAGGCCCTGTCTAAAACAGTCAAAACCTAAACCCAAACCAACCAAGAAACAAATATATATATATTACTTTGAAATTAAAACACACAGTAAAAAAAGTTACTGCAGAAAAAAAAAAAACCCCAAGTCTACAGACTTTAGTATGTTAACTGCCAACAACATTGTGTTCACTAAGCAGGACAAAGGACAGACGTGGTGTAGTGAACATCTTTTCATACCAATTTTACCATTTCCCAGAAAACCCCGTAAGAAGAAATGTCTGTGTAAAATAAATAGTAAAGAATGACACCATCCAACAGTGTAGCCGGCCCTCTACAGAAGGCAGAAGGAAGCTCACTACCCTAGTTACATCTGGGTGTCGGGGTTCTTCTTTTATTTTTAATACCTCCAAATTTTCTGTAACAAATCCTTTCATAATAAAATACTAGAGTTGGAGAGATGGCTCAGTGGTTAGGAGTACACACTGTTTTTGAAGAGGACGTATCTGACAGTCTATTCTGACTTCTGAAGATACCCACAACTCCATACACATTCCCCCACCAATACACATAATTAAAAAAACAGACTAGATCTATAAAAAAAAATACTTAGTGCTGCGTTGAAATGCTTTTTATCGGGAAAAACACTGATGAAAATGTCTGACATACGGGTATGTAAGAGGCATCTGCAGTCAATACTGAGTTTAAATTCTAACCTAAACAGAGGTTTAGTACCACTCCTAAAATAGCATCTCCATATTATCTGACCTCCTTGTCAGGATTTGCCTCACAATTAGTCAAGTGCCCTTCACAGTAGGAACCTCCTGAACAGAACTGCCTGTCTGAGTTTTTCTCTGTTCTGACGCATTGCTTTGTACACTGAAGAAACTGCAACTACGTCAGTTCCGACTCCTGCTAGCCAGACCCATGTACTCCATGGATTCTTCTGGTGGCCCTCCAGGCACTTCGGAATGTTAATAATCTCACGCTGGATCCTTAAGTCTATCCTCTCCTTCCAGAACCCTGAGCCTTCCTCTTCCTTTTTCTCTCCCCACCCTGAATCCTTCATCAAACCCCATTAATTATGCCTCTAAATTTCTCTTTGTATCTCCCACTTCATTGTAATGGGTTCCTAAGGCCCTATGTACTCTGGCCTTTATTCCATTTCCTGTAGGTCCTTTGTCCATACCCAACACTGCCGCTTCCCTAAACTCCATTCAGTCTCAGAATGTGCCAGTTTTCTTCCCTGGGAACTTCTGACGTCGTGGAACCTTTAAGATGAACATCCAGCCCAGTTTTAAATGAGAATTAACCGTTTTTAGAAGCCCTTCTACAAATCACCCATTAACTTGTCCTGAATCCTTGGCCTTGGATATCCCATCCCTGGGTACCATGATGCCTTTCCATTACCAATACATTCATTATACTTTATTCCTAGAACTCTGCCTGCATTTTCTAGTAACTTTCACAAGGCCACAGGAGGCCTGCTGGTAATTTGTTCATCCCGTAGAGTCAGTATCTGAAATCACACTCACCTCACAGAACTTCAATAAATATTCATCAAATGCAGAAATATAAAATTGTTAAGGAGAATAAAAAGCCATTTTGAGGATAAGATACTCAAAAGTTAGTAGTAGTTTAGGATGTACTTTTATCTTACTGATTAAAATAGGGTCTCTAATTTGCTATGTGTTCGAGGTTGGCCTTGAACTCCTCACCCTCCAGCCCCTACTCCCAAGAGTTGAGATCACAGATGTAGGGCACTCTACATGACTTGATATTTTTTTACTTAAATTAAAAAGAAAAAAATCTAAGTCCAGTGGTGGTTGTGCACACCTTCCATCCCAGCACATGGGAGGCTTAAGCAGGCAGATTTCTCTCTAAGTTCAAGGCCAGCCTGATCTACAGAATGAGCTCCAGGACAGCCAGGGCCACACAGAGAAACCCCATCTCAGAAAACAAAACAAAACAAAACAAACAAACAAAGCCTATACTGGTCTACCATATGGGAGCTCTAGGTTTGATCCCCAGCATTAGGGGAAAAAAGTGTCATCTTTGGGGCTGGAGAGATGGCTTAGGGGTTTAGAGCACTGCCTGCTCTTCCAAAGGTCCTGAGTTCAATTCCCAGCAACCACATGGTGGCTCACAACCATCTATAATGAGATCTTCTGGCATGCAGGTGTACATGAGGGCAGAACACTGTATACATAATAAAAATAAATCTTTTGAAGCAATAGCACTGAGAGGTAGTCAATGTAGGTATTATTATTATATCTAAATCTCAAAAAGAAACTGTAATATTTACCAGAAAGAATTCTAAACCAATGCCTTTTCCAGTTATATAATTCCTGTGATATAATGTTGGCCATCTCTTCTTAAACTCTACAAAGGATGAATCTGAGACATCTCAACTGCTTCTCCAGTAAGAACATTTGCAGCCACCTACTCCAAGTGTCTCTCTGTCATGTGACTACTGACATGCATGAGGGCAGATGGAGGGGGCAGTTCACTGTACTGGGACAAATCAGAGATAACTGCTTTACAAGAGACCTATGAAAGGGGCCAGTGCAGTGGCCTGAGCTGAGCAGACAAGGTTTCTCAATCAACTCTCTTCAATCTCAATGCAAACCAACTTTTCTGGAATTTCAGTAACATTTAGGAGAGAGATGGGTAATCACTAGAAACGATATAACTATAATGAGATTCATGTAAAAGAAAAAACAAAATAAGAGTTTCATTATTTGGGGCTGGGTGTGGTAGCACCTGTCTTTAATCCCAGCGCTCCGGAGGCAGAGGCAGGCAGATCTCTGAGTTTGAGGCCAGCCTGGTCTTGAAAAAACTAAAAAACAAAAGACAAACCTCAACAGATGATTTTCTTTTGTTATAGAAATTGATATTGAGCTTAATCTGGTACATTCAAATGCTGGAAAGAACGTGTATCTTAATACAAACTTTGTTTGTTTGTTTTGTTTTTTGAGACACGGTCTCTCTGTGTAGTCCTGGCCATTCTGGAACTTGCTCTGTAGACCAGGCAGGCCTGAAACTCATAAAAGATCTGCCTGTCTCTGCTTCCCAAGTGTTGGGATTAAAGGTTCCTCCTGCCTTCTGCCGCCTTTACTATAAACTTCTAATGTCAGTTTCAAAATTCAGTACTTATTTTCATAGTTGCATCTTGCATGAGGTTTGTGGGGACTTGAATGAATGTCACAGTGCTCTGTTCCCTCAATGTCCTCCCACAGTAACCTTACGGTGCTTTTCGCACTCACAATGGGCACAAAGAACCAATGCTGCAGCCAGCAGACGCCAATAGAGGTGAATAGGAAGAACTCAGGGTACCCTGGGGTTATGTTAAGTTTCTGACACATAGGGACTTGCTACAAACGGGCTATAGAGCAGCAGCTGGCAAATTACAACGCATAAGCACATACCTGATAGTTGTTACCTTTCCAGAATTTTTTCATTTCCTTACGGCTCCAAGCAACGATTGAGACGGTAACAAGTGTACAAGGTACTAGATAGAGGAGAGCAGGCTGCCCCCTCTTCATCAGCGCCAGGACAACAAATGTAATTATCATGCCAACAGCATAGGCTGCGGAAAAACAGAAGCACGGGTCAGTTTTACAGGTTTCTGGGAGTGGGATTTCCTTCCCATTAAAGTATTAGTTTTCCAATATTTCTGAAGACATTTTAAAGTAAGACTTATTTTTAAAATTATATGTTTGTATCCGTGTGTGGATTTGTGACTGGAGGTTAGAGGTGTCAGATACCCTGGAATGGGCATTATGGACACATGAGCCACCTGACATGGGTGCTGGGCTTTCACAGTTGCCTGTGACTCCAGCTCTAAGGTCTCATGTCTCTGTCCTCTTCCAGCACCTGTATGTACCTACCCACACAGAGGCAACACACATGCAGAGTTTAAAATAAACCAAATCTTAAGTTTGTCCTAATACAGACTAGAGACTTACTTACCTAGCACACACCCAAAATCATCTGGATGTTTCCTACTGATCTGGCATGCTACACGAATGTAGGATCTCAGGCTGCTGGAGCTGTGAAGACCTCCACTGGCAACCTAGTCTAGCTGCCTACTGTAAAGGTGAGACGATGGATGATCAGGGAGGCTGAGTAAGCTGCCCGAACTTTCACAACAGAACTGACAGTACCCCTAGCACTGCCTGCTGATTAAGTGTTCTCGGCCCAACCATGCTGGCTGGCCCTGGGTGTAACTGCCATTGGAGGATGCTGTCCTTAACGCCTCACGCTGCTTTTCTCGTTTCTATGCAGGGCAGGTTTCCCCTTCCTTCCGCCCCCCCCCCCTTCTTTCGCTACTTATCTCTTATCCTCTCTGAACTTCTTTCTCTTTCCCTCACTTGGCTCTCTTTCGTGCTGTTGGGGTACCCATTTCTAAGGACATCATTCCCTGTCATCAGTTTAACTCTACACGAACTAGAAAGCTTTGCAGGAATGGCTGTGGCTTTGGCACAGGCCACTTGTCTAAGCACTCAGAGCTTTCATGCATGGCTACTGAAACACCCATGCAGAACATTCAGAGGTATTGGAGTTGTCTTTTAAATTTCCTATTAACATTTCAATAACAGAAACAGAGGTAATGATCGCCCTGCTGTACCAAGTAACTAACAAAACATTAATTCATTTATATAAACTCATGGTTATCTATATATGATGCTAAAAAAAATCAAGTAATAAATATTTTAGACACTACTTTTATTCCAGGTATTTTAATAAACATTATATAGAAAACCTCAAGTTTCTTTTAGAGACAAGGTCTCCCTATGTAGCTCAGGCTGTCCTAGAATGTGCTATGTAGACCAGGTTGGCCTCAAACTCACAGAGATCCACCTGTCTGCCTCTGAGTGCTGGGATTAAAGGCAGGCTCCAACATACCTGGTAGAACCTCAACTTTTAATTTAAAGCCTCTAAAATCTTGTGATATAAAGTATGAGTGTCCTATTTATTTTTGTTTCTGACACAGGGTTCCATATAACCCAGGCTGGCCTTGAGCTTGATACACAACCAAAAATGACCTTAAACTTCTGATCTTCCAGAGTCCTGGAATTACAAGTGCATACCACCATTCCTAGTTTTAATTCCCAGTGGGGGAGGGTCTAAGCAGGGTTTCTCCTTGTAGCCCCTAACTGTCCTGGAACTCACTCTGTTGATGTGGCTGGCCTCAAACTTAGAGATCTGCCTGCCTCTGCTTCTGAGTTATGGGCTTAAAGGTGTAGACCACACTTAGACTTGTGTTTTGCCTGCATGTAGGTATGTGCTCCACATGCATGCCTGGTGCCCTAAAAGGTCAGAAAAAGGAGTCAGGTTCCCTGGGACTGAAGTTACAGACAGTTGTGAGCCACCATATAGAAACTGTGATTTGAACCTGGGCCCTCCGCAAGAGAAACATGTCCTCTTAATTGCTGTGCCAACTTTTCAGCCCAACATTTCACTATTTAAAATTATAAAATAGCCAGGTGGTGGAAGTGTATGTCTTTAATCGGAGCACTAGGGAGGCAGAAGCAGGTAGGTCTCTGGAATCCAGGCCAGCCTGGTCTAAAGTGAGTTGCAAGACAACTGGGACTACACAGAGAAACCATCTCAAAAACAAAACAAAAACCCCAAACATACAGACAGACAAACTCATAGGTGGTTTAGGCCAGGCATGGTGGCACATGCCTTTCATCCCAGCACTTGGGAGGCAGAGGCAGGTGGATCTCTGTGAGTTCAAGGTAAGCCTGGTCTACAGCCAAAGCTCTGCCTTGAAAAACAAACAAAATAAAACAAAACTAAATTGACTATCCTTAATAGGTTATTTGCATGAGCTTTGGTTTACATAAAGCTGCTAAATAAAAATGATTTATAAACATTTACTAGATTTGCTGTTTAATCTATTTCCACATGTTTAAAAAAGTGGCATTTACCTCCCCACCAAAATTTAGCTCTTAAAACCAACACTTAGTAACTCTGTTTTGGGAGATATATTTCTGTGTGAGCCTTTGACATTTACCATTTATTTATTGAATTGGGTCTCACTTACGCCAGGATGGCCTCAGACTCCGGCAGCCGAAGTCTTTAACTCCTTGTCCCTCCTGCCTCTATCTCCCATATGTTGGGATTACAGGTATGTGCTATCACACTGGTGTATGTGGAACTGGGGAAGCATGTCTGAGGCACCATGTATGCTGGGCAAGCACTCCACCAATCAAGCGACATGGCAGTCTGGCGTCTGCTTCCATAAGGTAATATTTAAATGAGTTTTATAGCTTTATGCCTAGGGCTATGCACAAGATCTTCTATAACAGTCCATGTGAAAGTCATAGTACAGGGAGACAGACTAGTACGTTTAGCCTTTTGACTTTTTCTTCAGACAATACAGCACAACACAATAAAAAGAAACAAATTTACCAATTGTGGATGAAATATAGTATATAGAAGAACCATTCTGAACATCGAATCTTCTACAATATGCAATCAGCAGGCCTAAAAGAAAAATCCACATTATTTTCTTAAAACAGTATCAACATTACAAATTCAACTGCTAGAATGGGCAACAATACAGGTGTTACTTCACTTTCCTTTTTGCACTATGAAAGCATTAATTAGCACCTTAAACTACACCTTCCTATGCTGATTTTTAAAAATTAGATATTAACCTGGGTGCAAAGGCACATGCCTGTAGCTCTAGAACTCAGGGAGGCAGAGGCAGGCAGATCTCTGTGAGTTCGAGGCCACCTACAAAGTGAGTCCAGGACAGCCAAGGCTACACAGAGAAACCCTGTCTCAAAAACAAACAAAATGTAGTATAGACACAAAATCAAGTATTATTCCTCCTTGACAGGGATGGCTCGGTGGTCAAAGCTTCCTGCACTCACTGTCCAGACTCTGGATTCCCAGCACCCACATGTGATCTCAGTACCAAGGGAGGGAGACAGCTGGATTCCTGGTTCTCCACGGCTGCCCAACCCAGCTGAATCAGCAAGCTCCATGGTCAGCAAGGAATCCTATCTAAAAAAACAGTGTTGAGCTAGAGAGATGGCTCAATGGTTAAGAACACTGGCTACTCTTCCAGGAAACCTGGTTCAATTCCCAGCACCCACATGGTGGCTCACAACCACCTGTAACTCCAGTCCCCGGGGATCTAATACTTTCTCCTGATCTCCACAGGTACAGCATATACACGGTATACAGACATGCATGCAGACAAAACATCCATACACACAATAAAATAAACTAAAAGATCTTTTTAAAGAGCCAGGTGTGGTGATACACAACCTTAATCCCAGCATGCAGAGGCAGGAGAATCTCTGTGAGTTCAAAGCCAGCCTGGTTTACATAGCAAGTTCCCCCAACAGCCAGAGCTATGTAGAAAGACCCTGCCTCAAAAAAAAATAATTAAGTAAATAAAAATAGAAAGAAAAAGAAAAAAGAAAGAATAAACAAGCAAACAGATAAAAAGGCAGAAAGCGAGGGACATCAGTCTCTGGCCTTCATACACACCAGCATACACACACAGAGTTCTGGAAAGTAAAGAAGGGAGTTGGGGGGTAGAGAGAAGAGCAGACAAGATGGAAATCCTGTCATCCGTGGTAACAGCATTGTGATAATTTGGAGGACACTTACATTAAGCAAGAATCAGCCAGCCATAGAAAAACAAATACTATATATTACCTAGCTTATAAGTAAAACTTCCAAGAGTTGAATTCATGGAAGTAGAGTAAAATGGTGAGATTGGGGAGTGTTTGGGGAAGAAATGCTAACCAGAGGACAGAAGTTCACTCAGACATAGATTGCAGGGACTCATCACACTGTACACTGATGGTCCTTAACATCTTAGCCGGGGACCTGAAGACAGGATTTCAAGTGTTCTCACGGCAAAGAAAAAAGTGAGGTAGTGCCTGCCAGTCAGTTTGCCATTCCACAATGTATACACATCTCAACACTATGTTGCATATAGTGAAACACCCATTTCTTTCATATACATGAACAAATACATATGGGTTAAAAATATATTCAAAATACATCAAGAAAAGTAATTTTAAATGTTTAGAGGAATGACTTAAGTTTTAATACAAAGAATTTTATTTTAAAAACATTTATTTATTTCACAAGTTTGAATACTTTGTCTGCAAGTGCGTATGTATGTGTGCCATGTGTCTGCCTGGTGCCTGTCAGAAGAGGGCATCTGCTCCCTTAGAACTGGTCTGTGTGTGTGTGTGTGTGTGTGTGTGTGTGTCTGCAAGAACAGCCCCAATACTAAGACTTTTTAAAAACACTGACATACAAGCTCTCATTAATACTTGCAAATATACATACAAAACAAACTCAATACCCATTTTTAGAAGAAATGTGTTGAACATCCCCAAGAAGAAATCTCATACTTATGATTAACTAAATATTTAGGTGTGCATCTCCAGTGTCCATCAGGTGAGTTCACTTGGTCCTCTCTCCTCGTTTCCCCATAGCCTGGGTCTCACTCCCAGTGTCCTGGCCTAGGATGGACCCTCCTCTGTGCCTCTCTTAACCTCTAGGCGTCCAACAGGTCCCTGTGCGCCCCTAACTGACAGGCTACTGTGATCCACTTCCCAAACAACTGTCTTTCATTATAAATCTATGTTAGCCGGCTTTCTTGTTCCTTTTCTTCTCCAGCCCTCCCTTGCTGACATCCCTAAAGCACTTCCTAAAATGCAACTATTGCTATCAAATAGGAGGAAAAGAAACATCACAAAAGAAAGTAAGGGGGTTCTTGCTGTTCTAAGAGACATTTTTGCCAGCAGACATTTTTTAAGTGGTGCTTTCTCTTTTACCCTTCAAAACACATTTTCTTAAAAAACAAAAAAACAAAACAACTTTGTCATGGGTCCCAATTCTAATGACAGCCAAAAATATAGAGCCTCGTAACTCTTACCAGATTCTGCGAATATGACCCCTTAAAACCTTAAGTAAGATTTGGCTAAAGTTATTATATTCACTCACCTGGTACAATAATATCTCCGAAACCCAATAATGAAACGGGCATGTAGCATACACTCATCACTGAGTAACCGATGAGTTTTGGCACCCTGATAAGTACTGGCAACTGTAAGTAAGAAAAGCAGAGTGTAGGGGGAGGGCAAGAGGGCAAAGGGAGGGAGAGGGGGAGAGAATGAACTAATAAATCTCTTCCCAATCTCTAATTTAGGAAGGGAAAGACTGACGTTGCAGTAATTGTTTTGATGCATTTTAAACTGATTATTAAAAAAAAAAAACTTGAACTAAGACGACATAAACATATAAACATATACACACATAATACACACATACACCCTGATTGTACAAAACACTTGGAGAAATAAGACATGTAGTTTTAAGAAATAAAACCCAACACATGGAGGATAAACATTATTAACATACTCCCCCCAAGCTAACCTTTTACTTTTTATTATTTTCTTTTTACCAAGAATAGGACGTAGACCTTGATGTGTTTTGTTTTGTTTGGCTCTGTTTTGTTTTGGTCAGTCTATTTTTTTCCCACCCAAAGAAGAGTCTCCTCTCAGAGGGTATGATTTAAAGTCCAATGAACTTATCTGAAATACAATTCTTACTTTCTCATGGGGAGCTGAGTGTTGAGCAGTGGCTTCCACAAAGTTTCCATCATTCTAGGATGAAACCCAAGTCAATAGGTATTTAATGATTTAGAATAGCTAAGAAAATGGCTACATCTGTGAGAAATAAGTCTTGTAATCGCTTAACATGCACCCATGACCAAAGAGTCACAGTAGGAAGGCAGAATTATGAAACAGACAGGCGGACACTAATGGGGTGGGCACTGCTGCTCACACCATCCCCACCTTTTCAGCATTCTCGAAGGGCCCAGCAGCGAGTTCCACCATGATGCTCTCGCCGTTCTAAAGGGAGAAAGAGATGGTGCTTGGTCATCTGTAGCGAACAACCTGCCACGATGCAGAGGACACCCGTGGCACACAGCCTCCTGCCCCTGAGCATGGGCTGGCAGTGCTGCTTCCTCAGACTCTAGGAACAGCAGACATCGCAGTCACCTGAAACAAAATTCAGCTTGCATACCACTCCACTTTACTAGAGCTCAGTAATGATCCGATCAGCACAACAGATCGGTCACGTACATCTGGAGATCTGAATTACACTGCCTGATAGCCAACATGTTAATAGGCTAGGAACTTTAAGTATTTTAATTTTTTTTTTTTTTTTTACTATGTACACTATGGTTCTTAGTCATTTTCAACATCAGAAAAAAGAGAGAGAGAGAAACTAAAACCCTTTAAATTTCGTTTTCTACCAAATGTAAGTAACCTTATTTGAATAAAAATTCATTTGACCTTCTGGGTATTTCCCACAACGAAACTATGAAGCATGAAGCTAAACTTGAAAAGACCCAACCTTACAGAATAAGAGATTCCCCTCCAGACCCAATCCTGCCTCCTTCCTTTGTTGTAGTCATAGCACCACGCTGAGTGGCAGTTCCCTCCCTGTATCTGCTGGAGTCTTTTCTCTGTGCTAGACAGGGTGCTCACTACCACGTTCTCTCGTGTAACCCTGGCTGCTTAGAGATGTAATTTGGAGGGAGCAGGCCAGAAATAGACAACACATTCTTTCTGTTGTTGTTTCGCTATAGCCAAGGATGACCCTGCCTCGGAGACTGAGCTCCAGGACACAGACAGGCACCACTGTACTTAGTTTGAGGCATCAGCTTCTGTTTCAAGGGGGGAACAGCAGACCAGGGAGAAGACGTATAAAGCTGAATTTTAGTAAAACCGTTAAAATGGGGAATGAGCATCTGATAGACATTTTTAATTACCTAATAAGCAAAAGCTTATAGCCATAAGGAAGACAAAGGTTTCAAACTGAGAAGGTAGTAAATGAGCATTTACAACAATGAGTTCCAAAGAGCACCTCCCGCTGCTTTTATTATAACATTTAGCTAAAATTCACAGGCCTAAGATGGAAAAAAAAAAAAAAAAAGATGAAAAATGTCCTAATCACATGAGAAAGAATACGCAAAGGCTTTTATCCTTAGCCTATACCTTTAAAATTTATCTGACATTAAACTGATATCATGTTTAAGGTAGATAAAAAGTACTTTAGAAACCTGGCTAGAGTCAACAGCTGCATTTCCCGTTCACGTTGTGGACTGCTGACCTACAGAAATGCTTTGGGAAGACAACATTTCGCTTTTGTCTGTATATAACCCCGCCTGTCCTGGAACTCATTCTGTAGACTGGGATTGCCCTGAACTCACAGAGATCCACCTGCCTCTGCCTCCTGAATGCTGGGATTAAAGGCGTGCACTGTGCACCGGGATCAACAATGTTTCACTTTTATTAACTATTTCTGATGGAGTATTCCAGCACTGTTTTTTGTTTTGTACCAGTTAAATTAATACTAGCTTGGACAGTTTTGTTTTATGCCTCAGGATCTCACTATGTAGTCCTGGAACTTGATTTGTAAACTAGGCTGGTTGGAAACTGGCAATCCTCCTGCCTCTGCTCCCTGAATACAGATTATAGGCATGTTCTGTCTTTCCTGGCTTGCAAACATGCTTTTTAAACATGCCCAGTTTTAGTTACAACCCACACTTCTAGTTCAATGCTTTCTCTTTCAAGGTCACTGCTGCTCAGTGAGAACATGGAGTGAAACAGCTCGTCTTAAGTCCCAGGACAGTGTGAAGCAGTCTGACTGAATACTTTGGGAGAGTTTTAAATCTTTACTCTTCCTAGTTGTAATTTTAGCTCCTCCACAGGGTATGTTTGTCTTTGTGGAAGGCAGTAAATGTCAGAAGTGTAGTTTTTACAGTGGTTTCGTAGATGATATATTGTCTCTTTTAGATAAAAACCCCAGTGTAGGGGGGCTAGGTAGAGAGTGTGTCTAAAGTACACAGGTCCCACAGGTCCTGGGTTCTAGCCCAAATTCAGCATTAACAGTAACAAACGCCAATGGGAAGAGAAACAGTCATCATCAAATATGAAATAGCTAAGAGACACAAAGAATATAGGGCCAATATAAACTTACAAGGCAAAGCATAAAATGGTAGAGAAAACAAGAGAACCAAACAATAAATAATATGTTTCTGATATGAAAAAGGGCAAGGCAGAAAAACTGAAAAAAATAATGTATGACAACTCACTCACTTAACACTTTTCCTCACTTTGCTAAGAAGTTGATGGTAAGATGGGGAATGTATGACTTAGAAGCTTCCAGCAAGAGAACCAGAGAACAGATATAATAGACAAAAATAAAAGGTGAGTATGTGGGGACCCGGTCTGAATTTCTACTGAGGTCAGCCTGACTCTGGCCTCAGTGAGCAGCCTGGATACAGGAGACCTTTTGGTATAGAAAGATCAAGGTGGGCCTGGCAGTAGTGGGTGGCTCATGCCTTTAAACCCAGCACTAGGGAGGCAGAGGCTGGCGGATCTCTGTGAGTTCAAGGCCAGCCTAGTCTATAGAGTGAGTTCTAGAACAGCCAGAACTGAACAGAGAAACCCTGTCTCGAAAAACCAATAATAATAATAATAATAATAATAATAATAATAATAAAATAATAACTTTTGTTTAAGAAAGATCAAGTTGGGTTCTGCCATCACAGCCAAAGGAATGCTACTGATGTGCAAAGCTAGCATCACTTCTCACGCAGCAGACTAGGAACCTAGAGCACAAAGGGCATCATACAGGATGGGCTGCCGGGTTACACGGTACACTGCAGAGTTGGCGTGCTGCTCTCTGTTACTCTCAAATCAGTTCTCAGAAATGAGGGTTGCAATGACAAACCTCCCTCCCCCTCTCTCTCCCTCCCTCTCTCTAAACTGTCTACAGTACACACTAACTGAAAGAAAACTTACTTCTAAAAGGAAAGAGAAATTACAGACATTCTCACTTTATACTAATCGGAAGTTCTTTAATTTCTCTAACAAGCAACTGAAGGCATGAAATAACCTCTACCGAAAGACCAATTTCAAGGGCAATTCCCTTCAGGGAATTAAAGTTCACTCCGAGGCACAAGCTCTGCAAAACCAACACTCTGTGAAGAGAGCTAAGGTTCTCTTCTCGAGGCCGCCAAGGTAAGTGAGCCAAGAGCACCGACTGCTCTTACAGAGGACCTGGGTTCCTACACCCACAGCGGGGGGGGGGGGGGCGGGCATGAAGGTCTCGAACAAGAGGCAAGAATGCCCTCTGCTGACCTCCACGAGCACTGGGCACGCACGGGGCGCACATACATACAGGCAGGTGCTCACAGATAGACATAAAGTGAAAAGAAAGCTGCATGTGCCAGTGCGGGGCGTGGCGACACATGCCTTTAATCTAGAGGCAGGCAGCTCTCCGTGAGTTCAAGACCAGCCTGCGGCGTATAGAGAGTTCTCTACTAGCCAGGGTTATGCTGAGAGACCTTGTCTCAAAGCAAACAAACAGATTTTAAAAGTTTCATCTTTTTGAAGGCTTCGGCATAAATTTAAAATGTATGTATGGCCATACCTTTGTGATGAAGGGTGTTATGAAGACAAAAAACACATCATAGATGAGGAGAAGGCCTAGCAGTATCACACATGACTGTTGGAGAAAAAAGAAATTTAAAAAATCAAACTTCCCACATCTAAGCCAACGCAACAAATTACTTTGCAAATACAGGTAAGCATGGGGATATACATTTGAACACTATCTGAGAAGGCATTTTATGGCTATTACTATATATAATTTTATTTCATATGGCAAAAATCCTTACTTCCTGTATTCTGTTTGCTTACGACTATCACTGAATTAAAGAATGTCCCTGCTATTTAGTCTCATAAAGTTTTATGAAATGAGCATGAGTGATGAAAAACATTCAGCTATCAACTCAGTAGCTGTCCCTGCCTGGGGCTGGAAGTGAGTCAAACAGGCCGAGCAAGCTTTCTGAAGACTGGGGAATGGTCTGTAGTTCATTTGGCTGTAAGTTACAAAGGCTTTAAACACATCTACTACATTTCAACATTGTAACTAAAATGAGCCTGTTTTACTATATGCAAATTATACCTCAATCATATGGTCTTAAAGAGAAAAAAAATATTATCACAACTATAAAAGTAACATATTTTACCATGAAATTGGGTAACTTCATTGTTTTAATTAAGTTGAGACAGAAAGCAATTCCTAAGATATCCTGTAAAATCCAAGCCCACCTATAAGAAAAAGAGAGAGAGAGAGAGCTCAACATATTATTTCATTCCGTTATCTTCAAACGAAAGTCAAATAAACAGGTCACTGTGGTTATGGCTCTCAAGCGTCTCCCCACAGCCTCCCTATTCAGCAAGCTCCTGTCCCGGCAGAATGAGGACTGCTAAGGCCACCTCAGAAGGATGTAGGGCGGATGCAAGTGCGTACTCTCCGCCATCTCTGCAGCTTCATGCATTCCTTCCACAAAGACAGCTGCCGGTAAAATCCTCACGCTCGTTTCCACACAGGCTGAACATAAGGTGAAAGCGATACAACCTACTGGCCTCGAACGCACAGTGATCTACCTGCCTCTGCCCCCCAAGTGCTAGGATTACAGGCGTGCACCACCAGGCCCGGCCATGAGGCAGTTCGGTAACTGAGCTAACTGGGTTGGAAATACCCTGAATGTGGGCAGCGCCATTCCCTGGGTTTGTGTTCTGAACTGTATAGCTGTAGAGACGGGGCTGAGACAAATAGGCACCTAGGCACTCATTTCTCCCTGCTCTTGGCTGTGGATGTGTGGATGCGATCAGCCGCTTCAGGCTCCTGCTGCTTCGACTTCTCAGTAGAAATAGCAGTACCTGGAACTCTGAGCCAGAATAAACTTTTTCGCCCCTAGGCTGCTTTTTGGCAGGGTATTAGAGAGCAGTAACAGAAATGAAAATACGACAGTCTTTTCGCTTAAAAATCCACTCTGGAGATCAGGGCACTGTCAATGCAGAGACCATGAGTTACGGTTATAAGGCACTATAACTATATAACTCTAACTATATAACTCTAACTGTGACACATCATAACTGAGCGTATTTTAAATCTAGGTGTTTAAGGCATAATTCAATTTGAGCATGAGCTCAAATTATTAGTTTAAATCTGTTCATTTGCCGGGCTTGGTGGCTTATGCCTGTAACCTCTGCATGCAGGAGACAAAGGAAGCTGGGTCACTGCGAGTTCAAGGCCAAAGTTCTAAGTTAGCAATGGGGCACACAACTTAGAAATCCTGTTAAGTAACTTATTACCTTGTTTTAAGATATGTTCTTGAATAAAAACAAAACAAAACAAAAATCCACAATAATCATAATGAATAAGAGTCAAGAAAAGATACAAAACAATGCATCCTTATATCTAAAATAAACTATAGAGTCGTCATACCTATCCTCATTTCTAAACACAGCCCACACAACAGCGACTGAGATGCAGAATCCAGAAAGGAAAACCAGGATCACTTTAATGTCTTTGCCACAACACGAAATCCTAAAAATAAACCGAATAATTAATTTGTATTGTAGATACACTGATACAAAAAGTGCCAAACATTAACAAGAAGTGACTGAAATATTAATCTAGATGTCACAATTTTACGCAAAACCAATGAGGCATAGTAATGGGTTCAATAAAACACTTTGTGGTAACAGAATTGTTCTCAGTGCTTTCTGGTACTGATGGCCACTAGCCACATGTAACTACTCACACTTTAAATATGTCCCAGGGGTTCAATTTAAAAATCCCAAACACAGCCAGCCATGGTGGCACACACCTTTATTAGTCCTAGCACTAAGGATGCAGAACCAGGCAGATCTCTATGGGTTCAAGGCTTCCCTAGCCTACAGAGAGTTCCAGGCCAGCCAAGGCCACAG